TAATAGTAGTGATTATTCTTATTACTGTTACTGACTACTATCACTCCGTTTTCCCTTGGCCATTCTGAAGCTGCGCTGGGAAACTTTTAAGCATATGATCTATAGTCTGAACTCCTAGTATCCCCCTTCATAACTCTTTAAGGAGTTTAGACCTCAAACCCCAAACCCTAAACGTTAAACCCTGAACCTCAAAGCCAATGTCATCCCCTATAGAATCTTCTTTAAGAAGTTTAGAACCTCAAAACCCAAACCCTATACCCTATACAATCCCCTACATAACCCCCCTGTAAGTACTCATACCAACTTCCAAGCAGGAGTGAAAGAAACTCGGGCGTCACGCAGGTCGAGCCAGAAAAATGCTCCCACAAGTTGGAACTATCTTTTCGGGTTTAGGACTTGGGATTTAGGGTTGAGTTTAGGGTTTAATGTTCACTTCGTATTAATAACCATGTCCCGGCAAAAACCATACATTTTTGCGATTTTACAAATCTGGGGGGTTGTTACAATTGTGTTGCGGCGGCGGGATTTTATGAATGTGGGGGTAGATCATAATATGAAGTCAACATTAGGGTTTAGGATTTCGAGTTTAGGATTCGAAGTTTAGGGTTGAGGATTTGGCATTTAGGGTTTAGGTTTTCGACTGCCAACCACACTGCGAATCTTGTGCTGACCCTGGCCGAGGATAATGCTGCGAAGGTGACAGGATGCTACAATATAAGCTCCTTAAAGGGGCTATGTAGGGGATTATTATGTAGGGGGGTTTTAAGGTTTAGGGTTTGGGGTTTAGGGTTCTGGGATTCTATTGGGGTTGTATAGGGATTATGCAGGGATTGTTCAAGGGGTCGTCAAGGGGGATACCAGGAGCTTAGACTATCCCTCATCTGCTGCAGTAGGAGGATAGGACTGGATCTGGAATCGAAAAGGGATAGGGGCTTATGCATCTTCAGCTTGATAGAAAACATGAATAACATCAGCAGAACGCTTTCCCTAGACTTCAAACTTGAATCCCTAAAGCCCTAATCCCTAAAGCCTCAGCCCTTAACCCTCAGCCCTAGAAACCCTAAGTAGGCAAGATACTTTCTGAGCTGTCTGTGGGGTTTGTCCGGTCAAGCATAGCTGCCTTGTGGTCTGCACCCTGCCAGGTCACAGTCGATCACGTGGGGTTCGGGGGTTTAGGGGTTTTGGGGTTTGAGGTTTTTTCTTCAACACACGGACTTTTCGTCTGCTCGGCTCACACGGGGTTCTTACTGCCCTCTTAGGCATCGTGCAAAAATGCACCTCAGCAATCCCTCGAGTTGGACTTCATCCGGTTTAGGAATGAGGGTTTCAGGGATAAGGGTTTGGGGTTTGCATTCTCCAGCCATTTTCCGTCTGCATGAAATGCATCCCGAATGCCTCTTAAGGCACGGCGTGTTGACTTTGGGGCTTGGTGCTCAGAGTTTAGCGCTCCGGGAGAAGGATTTTGTAGTAATGCAGCCTGATAAAGGACAGAAAGGGAACGACAATGCACTACGACGCGCTAGTCGAGGCTACTTTTTCAGGCCGGCCCCCCATCAATAGTGTTACCGTTTTTCAAAAGCAAGGCAGGTGTGGCGAGAATGGAGTCCCTAAACCCCTAATCCCTGCCTTGGGAGCCGCAGCTTGCCTCTCATGGTGTCTGACCTGTACTTACTTTCAGCGCGTCAGGTATGTTCTTAGTTGCAATTGCCAGGGGAGTCACAAACAGTTGATTCGACCAAAGCCTTATTTTGCGAAATTTGGAGGCCCCAAAGGCACAAGAATGGGATTTTGAGAAATTATGTATAAAATGATGGCCTTTCAAAGAAGCGCGCAGTTCGGCGAGCTCCAGAGTGCGAAGCCCAGACGTGCACTCCCCAATAGGAGGGATTATGAACGGATCTTCAAAGCATTTTCATAATCCGTGTAAAGTGGACGTATCTCTGGCCATCCCCCTCAGCACCCCCAAAAGCTGGGCTGCTACTTTGAGAAGCTTGTGGTTGCTGCCACGATCCCCTGGCCTTCTGTGTGTTTCTGCCTCAGCTCGCCAGCCAAAAGCTTACGACATGCGGAAGTTCGTACAGGGTTTAGGGTTTAGGGTTCCTCTATAGGGGGTTATATTGGGATAATGGAAAAGAAAAAGGAAATTACTATAACGGGTTATATAGGGGTTATATAAACATTGTAGTGGGACCTTTATGAGGACCACACCGACCGTGGAGGATCCATCTGCTGGCTAGTTGTGGGTGTAGTGATCATAAGGACAGTAGAGGTTTGGGGTTTAAGGTTCGCGGTGTCAACGCTCCTACCTTCCGGGCTTTTCGCTGCAAAAGCTCTACTTGCGTGGTAGTTACGGGAGCTACCAACGTCAGCTTCACGAGCGTGCAAAGGTGATTATTCACCACACACATCCACACAGCAATTACAAAATTCAGAAGCGCCTGCACACAAGCGCTGCCAAGATTTTGTTCAACCGTACCTAAGACTTCAGACTGTTCCAACTAATCCCTGCTACTGATAACAATCCAAGTTGCTGTGGCTGTGGTGTGGGGATACGGACCCAGCACCCTGGGCCACAGTAGCTGACTTTGCCGGGATTTTTGGGCTGAGCCATCTGCAGGCACTTGTACGGGATTGCAACGTATCGCTAATCCACAAGGGACTTCGCACTCAGCTGTGTGGGGGGGCCATGAAACTGACTCTGAGACTCCCCTCCCAAACCTCGCTGGAGAATCCTTGCCTTGCCTCTGCCCCAATCTGAAGTGCATCCAAAAGAAGCGCACGATGCGAACATGGATCTACGAAAAACATCCTTTGATAATGACAACCGTTACTACCCTGGGGCACTGTGATGCAGGCAGATGTTGGCAGACAAGCTTGTTTTGGAATTACACACGTTGACACACATTGGATTGCCCCCTTCCCATGAAGCGCTGGGGCCTCGCCAGCAACCCCCAGCGCAAGCAGCGCCAAGGGCGCCCAGCGCATCAGCCTTCCACAAATGGCTGCTTCTTTGAATGATGATTTTTCTAACGAGCGCACAACTTGAGAACAGCTTGTTAGGGGCTCCGACGGGCCGT